GAGACTATAATTGACCGAAATAATTGAAAACTTTCATCATTAGGGTATGGGTATACATGCATACCCCAGAAAAAGGCAGGGTACTATTTGTATACCTTGGTACCCGGGTTCCGGCGCCCCTGGATAGGATGAAATTACAAAATTCAGTGGAAGCCAGTGGCTCAGTGATAAGGTGCGGGTTTATTAACCAAGAGGTTGTGAGTTCGATTCTGGTGTCAGTCGAGAAAGAGAGGGTTGTTATGTGTTACAAATTAAAGCAGGACGCCAACTCGCTGTCAGATTAGGACGAAATCACTAATTTTGTGGAAGCCGCTGTGACTCAGTGGGTAAGACACTGGCTTACTAACCAGCAGTTGTCTATAGAAAGAAAAGGTTTTTAGCTTTCACAAGTTAAAGCGGAACTCCAACTCGCTGTCAGATATTTTTAATTAGGATGAAATTACTAAATTTGTGGAAGTCACTGTGGCTCAGTGATTTAGGCACTGGTACTAGCTAGCAGGTATGGGGTTCGATCCAGGTGTCGGCTGAGCCAGCATCAAACTCACTTAGCCGCCGTGGCTCCCCCTAGGTTGATGCAGAGCAGTAGGATGTTAAATCAAATTTCATTTCTGTAAAGACTGTTCGACCATATTTTAAAAATTTAAGCCGTTTTTTTTTTCTCTGCTGTTCTCATAGTGGTAACTTTTCCAACTTTCTCAGTGATTTCTCCACGTATTTCATTGTCAATATTGACTAAAGGAACATAAACTCTACTCTCATATGATGAAATATTGAATTGTTTGCCAGTGATGCAATGATTGAAGTCCAGGTTCAACTATTTAAAACTTTTTCTTTCGAGGGATTTGTACACAGCACAGTTATTCTAGATTTTATATTGATGAAATGTCAAAATGGAATTGGGTTTAATGTCCTGCAATGACTGGGTCAATCAATTAGAGTGCATGCCATACCGTGTGCAATGAGGGAAATTTTGTCTGGACAGAGGCACAATGGATAATTTTATTTTGAATTCCAACAGTCAGGGTTTTTTTACATGCCTACCTATGTGTTCATTTCAGTTTTTGTCCCATCAGAACAACTAGACACTGTCTTTGCACAGTGGGAACACCTGAGGAACTCTCTCGGCTAAAACCAAGAGTGAACCCGAGACTTCTTGGTGACCATCAAATATCAAACACTACACTTTATACAATGTAAATATATAAAGTACTATATAATATTTGACCATGTATTGGACTCTTTGTTTTGTAAGATGCACGGTCGCCCGTCCAACCTCGTGGGTTTTCTCTGGGTCCTCTGGTTTCCTCTCTCTGCTAAAGATCCCTACGTGCAAGCGAATTATTGAAATAAAATTGAACCATATGTTAGTCCCGAAATGACCTCTCTCTCTCTCTCTCTCTCTCTCTCTCTCTCTCTCTCTCTCTCTCTCTCTCATTATAAGATGAGGGATCGCCCAAACTAAAAAGAACAACATATGCTTTGTTGATTAGTGATGATTGGCAGAGGTGTTCAAGTTAAGATGAGCCTTTCTTTGGGCAACCTTCGGCGTGGAGGCGTCCAAACTCCATGTCATGGACATGCTTGAGGTTCGGATGACATTTGGGGGGTTGGATGACTTAGTGGTTAGCACGTGCGTGCTGTATCATTAAGTCTGTCATTGAGTCAACTGGCGTGGTTTCGAATACCCGGTTGTACGTGAAAAAGAGTAGGGTCGCCTGTCCAACCTCGTGGGTTTTCTCCTTGTCCTCCGGTTTCCTCCCACTGCTAAAGACCCCTACGCGCAAGCGAATTATAGAAATAAAATTGAACCATATGTTAGTCCCGAAATGACCTAGTTTGTGTCGAGTGGACGTTAAACCCCATTTCTCTCTCTCTCTCTCTCTCGGATGACATTTAGATTTAGATTTTTGAAAAATCTATAGAGCTTGACCCATACAAATCCCCCTTACCTGCAAGCCCTTCAGATATAGAGCTTGGTGCATACAGATCCCCCTCACTCCCAAGCTGTCATTTTGGGACTAACACATGGTTCAATTTTATTTCAAAACTTTACTTAAGTGTAGGGATCTTTAGCAGTGGGAGGAAACCAGAGGACCCGGACAAAACCCATGAGATTGGACAGGTGACCCTACTCCTTGTCACATACAAGTGGGAAATCGAAAACATGCCACTTGTCTCAATCACAGACCTTCTGATTTCATGCACAACCGTTCCCGCATCACAGGGTTAAAGGCGATGACATCATTACAATAAAAACTATTTTAGGGCGAGATATGTTTGATATCAGCGTTTCAGTTGACACTGTTTACCTGGGACACAAGACCTGCCGCAAACTATGATCAAACAAGACCGTATCGTCACTTATTTTAATAGATTAACAAATTACAAGGTAAAATAACCTTTGATGTTATTGACCTTCTCCGTCGTCCTATTGACCAGATCAACATAATTAACCTCCGGATTAATTACCAAAAACCTGACGCATGAATGGTTCATACTAATCTAACGTTTGCCATCTTTGTTTGCCGAGCAGTTTCTGTTTCTTCCAATGTTGACAAATGTTACATGTTTATTTGTAACTGTGATTGGTCAAACAACCTTTGATGTTAGAAGATAATACATGAAAGCTGATTGGTTAAATAAAGATAGGTTGCCTGTGAGTAAGATAGCTTAATTGAAGAAACCAGGGATCTTGATTTTTTGGAACTTAAAGGCTCGATTTGTCCTTTTTAGCGCTATAGGAATCCCCTCGCAAACTAGAATATCATGACATTTTTATGTCTAATAGGAATGTCAGTCCAAAAATTGTTAACATTTCTTTCAGTTGAAGAAAAATACATTATGGGAATTTGATAAAGAGCTGGCAGTTCGCACTATAATAATTAAAAACTAGATAATGTAAAAGGAATGTGCTGAAAATTTCAGTCAAATTGATCCACTCTGAACCGAGAAATTAGTGATTGAATTTTGGGCCTAGCTTCGATCATCATTACTAAAGTCGGTACAATAAAAAACATAGTCTTGATTATCCATTTTTTGATTTAATCATGAATGGTGGATGATCAGCAGATCGGATTATAATCCAGTAAATATCGCAGGCTAGCGATGACATCGAGAGTTGATTATGGTCTGGATAAGTTAATGTCTAATTAATAATTTATATAACATTTAAGGCCTAAAGAAAGACCTGCAATATGCAGATTTAGCTCTTGCATAATGTATGTTTAATTTGTGGACAATTTGTTCTCAGCCATTGGGGGTCATGGTGGCTAAGTGGGTAGGACGCTGGCTTGCTAGCCTGGAGGTCGGGTGTTCGATCCCTGCATTGGCCGAGAAAGTTCATCCGGATTTTCCGGCATGTTTCCCCCTTGTCAGTGATGCAGGGCGGAGGTCCTGACAAGGACAGCTGTCTAGTTGTTCGGATGGGACAAAATAACGAGGTCCCGTATACACATTGGCGTGCACGTAAAAGATCCTTTGACAGTTGGAATTTGATATAAGAGTAGGCCATAGTGCTGCTGTGCAGGCAAAATTCCTCTGATATCACACTATATGGCTTATGCCTGTCTTCATCAGCCCAGTTCGGAGCAGAAAAGTAGGACATTAAACCCCATTCCATTTCATTTCTCAGCCGTTAGTCCAGTTGATGCAGAACAGCAGGACATAAAACCCCATTTCATTTGTTCTCAGCCGTCAGCTGACTGTGGAACGTACTGGATTAACATAATCACATCGATGACAGCTTTTGTTGTCACCATTTTAAGAAATGTATGAAAGAGAGTCGCCAGTGAGACTGGTTGTGTTTGCCGAGGATTATATCGGAATGGACAGAAACATGGCAGATTCTTTCTGTTACAAATAAACCACATCCTTTTTATGTTTCAGAATTTTTATTGTCAATAAACTTTGTTTTCTTTAGTATGATGTGCTGAAACAAAAGAAATGTGATTTTTATAACAAAGGAAATGTTTTCATCTTTTAAAACTAGAGTAATATTAAACATTAAAAATTGTTTCTACAGGAAGAAACAACAAAATCGGTTTCATAAATTTTGTGGACAATATCTGATTTTCTATGACTTAATCATTGTTAAAATATCACATTTCGCAAGGCTTAATCCAAGCTAAAATATAATCAATTTCATAAATTCTGTGGACTGAAAAAGATGAGAGTCACTGATTGTTTATTTTTCAGACAATATCTGATTTTCTATGACTTAATCCATGATAAAATATCACATTTCTCACGCCTTAAGCTAAAATGTACTCAAGACTGATTATTTAACATTTAATTAAAAAAACAAAACCAAAATACCAACAGTAGAACCTTTGTTTTCAATTGGATTTAAAAGAGCCCAATGAACACTGAAGATTAAAGTCACTAATCCTGATCATGTAGATTTCGTACAGTATCTGATTCTCCATGGATTAAAGGGCATATGGCTCTATTCTTTGTTACCTTTTAGATGAAAATGTGTCTAAAAACACATATCACTGTAATATGAATGGGAAAAGTGATATATATTCAATACTTAAAATATTAGTTGTAATTTATAATCAGTTATGTTCGGTGAAAAACTTTAACTTTCCTAATTGAATGACATTTATTTATGCCTGCTTAGTCCATTTTATGCCTCATGTACTGATTTTAAAATGTTCATTTTGTCCTAAATATTAGATATTAGGTTCCTATAGTTCCACAGCAAGATAACAATATCAATATTGATTGAAATTGATCAATATTGAATTCTACTTCATGTTTTTAGTTTCGAACATAATGGAAATATTGAGTTAGAGGTTTAGATTCGTCAATTAATGTTTAACATTTCATTAAGAAAACCAAAATATAAAAAGACCTGGGCATTAAAAGATTCTATCCAACACTTACAGGTGCCGCTGGTTTGTTTATTATGAGCAGAGGATTCTGCAACTATTGATCATTAATCATTGAATTATTATTACAATAAATTAAAAGTTATATTTTAATTTTTTTTTGTTCAGGTGACGTTTCGTCTACTGGAAGCTGAGAAACGCAAATTAGAAATCTTCCACAGAGAGCTTGGTATTCATCTGAATTCACATGGATTACAAAAGGTAACTATGTCGTTAAAGAAGTAGGAAGATTTACCAAGGCCCAATATTTCTATATAAACAGCTAGTATAGATTCTGACAGTGGTGTGGATATGGTGATGCCTGAGGGCCAACTGCTTGATTATATGTCCCCAAGACTCAAGTAATGTCCTATTACATGGTTATATGCCCTGCAAGACTCACGTATAGATCCTAGTACTTGATTGTACGTCCCCAAGTCTTAAGTATAGATTATACACCCACCAAGACTCAAGTATAGATCCTAGTACTTGATTGTATGTCCTCCCCAAGACTCATGTATAAGTCATAGTACTTGACTGCATGCCCCCCCCCCCTGCCAAGACTCAATGACTCAAGTATAGGTTCTGGTACTTGACTGGTTGCACCCCAAGACTCAAGTATAGGTCTCAGTACTTGATTGTATGCCCACCAAGTATAGATCCTAGTATTATTAACATCAAACTCATTTCTGACCATGAACATCAAGCAAGGTCAATTTGGTGTCGTTTTGTTGTTTTAAAGATGCATTATGTAAGAAATAAATCTGCCTATGTTTTATTTTAGCTTTAAAATTTATATAAACTATTTAGATAATTTAATCAGTTCCCGTTATTCTTTTATTCCTTTTTTTATTCATATCTTTCTAGAGAAAGGAGGTCGAGCAACTCAGAAATAATATCAGGTATGTATTATTCTTTAATTTAATCTGTAGCGGATACTCTTTTGACTTGAAGCAACCAGAGTGAGAGATGGGTTTGAAACTAGGTCATTTAAGAGAGAGAGAGAGAGAGAAATGGGGTTTAACGTCCACTCGACACAAACTAGGTCATTTCGGGACTAACATATGGTTTTAATTTTATTTCAATAATTTGCTTGCGCATAGGGGTCTTTAGCAGTGGGAGGAAACCGGAGGACCCGGACAAAACCCATGAGGTTGTACAGGCGACCCTACTCCTTGTCACGTACAACCGGGGATTCGAAACCACGCCAGTCGACTCAATGACAGACTTTATCATACGGCGCGCGCGCTAACCATTCAGCCATCCAACCCCCCAGGTCATTTAAGGAATATATGGTTCAATTTTATTCCAATCATTCCCTTGCACATATGGGTCAAAGCATTTTTTACAGTTGGAATTCGATATAAGAATAGATTGTAGCGCCACTATTCGGGCAAAATGTCTTCATTAGCCCACTGGATGCAAAAAAGTAGGATGTTCTTCTAAAGGCGATAACTTGGCTTAGAACGAAGTAATTTGACTGAAATTCTCAACATATTCCCTTTTCATTATCTTTTGTTTTAACTATTATAGTGAGAACTTTCAGCTCTTGATCTTAATCTTACATAAAGCCCCCTTAATGACTAGGTAGATGATTTTAGCAATATGTAAAAGTATTTAACTTAAAGGCTCAATACCATTCTTGTTGTATGAGAATATTATGTCCCAATCTTTATTCTGGTCAACAAATTGTACTATTTTACAGTATTCCAATTAATTGATGAAACAAATTTCATCTTAACACACCTAATTTTAAAAATTGGAAAAATTCAACTCAATGATTTGAAAAGCCTAACGTAAAGCTTTTCAAATGTGACATGGATTTAAAATATTTTCGAACCCTCTGGACAAGTAAAATAGGATGTAATGGATAATTTTACACAACAGGTAGGACACTTAAACATCTTATACTTAGAATATTTATTTACTTGAGCAGTCAAGCCAGCAAGAGTGTTATTGTCCCTTTAATATAAAATATATAGCATTAAAAATTAAAAAATAAACTCATAATTCCATCTTAAAACTTTGGTTGGGCTTAACAAAATAATGAATGACTAAACACCTGACTGCGTTGAAATGTATAAGATTATTGTTACATCTAAATCTTACATGATGCCCCTTTAATGACTACGTAGATGAATTTAACAATATATAAAAGTATCTAAGGTAATATAAAATATATACCTTTAAAAATAAAAAATAAACTCATAATTCCATCTTTGGTTAAGCTTAAAAAGATAATGAATGAATAACCCAAACACATGACCGTGTTGAAATGTATAAGATTATTGTTATATCATTGAGGCTGAATTAAGACGTGTTTTACAAAGATTTACGTTAATTTAACAAATGATAAAAGAAGATTTTATAGCGGATATGGTCAGGTAGTATTACCATGTTACAGACATGTCAAGTTCTTGTGTTTACATAGAGAGGAAATGTCAAAGGTTAAAGGTCGTTTTAACAGAATGATGTAAATGAAATCAGCTGATTAGATGTAAATAGTCTTGTTTGATTTCATTTTGTTGCTTTCATTTAAATTAGATGACATTAGTAGGACATTAATTTCATTTCATTTGGTGTAACATTTAAAAAAGTCTTGTTTGATTTTATTTTGTTGCTGTCAAGTATTTAATTTAGGTGACATTAGTAGGACAATAATTTCATTTCATTTGGTGTAACATTTAAAGGGCCAATCCCAATTATATTTTAGAAATTAAAACTGGTTAATTTTGTGTTAAAAGCCCCTAAAATCTTCTACCTTAGGGTCGAGCAACTAACTCATTATACGTGATACATTTTCAAACAACTTAAACCTGTCAATCTTCATCTGGAAATGGAGACTGGTGTCCCAAGCTGTATTATACAATGTCTGGATAAAACCAGACTTTTATGTTATAAAAATAACTTGTAGGTAAAATTTATCTTTCGTTATCAAGTACAGCACATGGGTAATTCACTGTATAGACCTCTAATGGAATGGCAATAGATTATCGTGTCACCCAAAGAAAAAAATTGACCCAAAATCTTAAAAGAGTTACGTGTCCGGATAAGCAGTATTGACGTTATGGTCCAAACATCTCAATATTTTGAGCTGAAATTTTGAGACAAGGTACATAGACCATTCCTCTATATTTTGGCTCTTAAATTTCTTATGTACTTTGACTTTTATTTTTGAGACTCTGTTCAAATCGGGATAGTGTATTTAAAAGAGAAGATTGATATCAGCCCATTTAGGTGTATATAGTGTTGTCCCTACATACACTGTAACCCGGGTATCATTTAATCTTGTGTCTCTAGCACTAATTACTTTCACATTCGTTTAATATCAAATCTTTGTTTAAAAATTTGTAAAAATCATTTAAAATCACCCAAAATCATCTAATTTGTACTTTTGTCTAGATTAAAGCTGACTGATTAATTTTGATAATGAGTGTCCAATTTACACTTTGGGGTGCACATTAAAGATCCCTGGGCAGTTGGAATTTATTATTAATTTTCCTCATAGTATACTCTATGGCGTATTCCCACCTTCATAAGCCCAGTCGGAGCAGAACAGTAGGATATTTAATCCCCATTTTATTTTTATCTGATATTTGAACCAGTTTTAAATAACCTCTATATCTATTATTTATCTGCCAGCATGCATCAATCGGATGATAATATGATGATATAATATGTATTGAAGATCATAGGTGTACGAACCGGGGGATTTTATATCAGTGTAACTTGTTCTCAAACTCAAAAAGCAGTTCCAGAAAATTCACTCCACTGGCTTGCTGTAATTTTTCAAGATTTTAAATCGGTTATTTTGTCATTTTGATCTTTCGGCCGTGACTTAGGCTTATACCGTCAGCTGATTCATTGTTTTGACCGGTGTGAAATTAAGATTATGAATTGGCATAGTCAAAAAGGCCTGTACGCCTATGCTGAAGATCATAGGGCCTGTTATCTATGTAAGTCATGGGTCGCATCCCATATTTTTTTTATAAACTAACCTCACTCTCTTTGTTTACTAAATGCCCTCGTCTGTTCTTGTTCATTAGACAGAGGGCCTGACAAGGACAGCTGCCTAATTGTTTGGATGGGACGAAAAACCAAAGTCCTGTGTACACATTGGGGTGCACGTAAAAGATCCCTTGACAGTTGTTATTCGATATAAGAGTGGGCAGTAGCACCACTATTCAGGCAAAATTTCCCTAATAGCACACTGCATGGCGTATGCCTGTCTGCATTAGCCCTATTGGAGCAGAACAGTCAGATGTTAAACCTCATTTCATTTCATTTCTTGTTCATTAAGTGTGATTACCCATCTAGCTTGTTAACCTCACCCATGTCAATAAGTGAACCCGACCCTCCGGTTTCCTCCAACTGCTAAAGACCCCTACGCGCAAGCTAATTATTGAAAAAAAATTGAACCATGTGTTAGTCCCAAAATGACCTAGTTTGCATCAAGTGGACATTAAACCCTATTTCTCTCTCTCTCTTACGTCCGCTTACACCAAAGTGATCTCGCAGATAAATGTTAAACCCCCATTTCATTTTATCTTTTATGCTTCCAGAGCTTACGATAAAAAAATAAGCTGCTTGATTTTCTTCGTGTCATGTTCAGAAATTCCTACTTGTAGTGTTAAACTTTCGCATCACTAGTAATCTCATTGTCGTCTGTCTTTCACAACATTGTGTCATCATTCACTACATGAAATGTCACAGTCGAGATTCTGTGGAGTAGTATCTAAAAATAGATCTAATGTTTTGTGGATTTTTTTTTCTATTTGCATAAATTAATTTTGACATCTCTGTTTCATTATCACATCACAACCAAGTCTGTTATTTAGACCGTGAAACTAGGTTTTATTTTTCTTGAGTGTGTTTTGCATAAATTATTTTGACACGTCTTAGATAGGGGCAGATCCAGAGGGGGGATTTATCTCTTTAAAAAGCTCAATGTGAGTGTATGCCTACGTAATATAGAGACGAAACCCCCTCCAGCAAAAATTACTGGATTCGCCCTTGATTAGTTTGGGTGGTCGAATTGTCCAACACACTGCTTTAGACAGAGCAAAAGAGAGAGATGGCACTTAACATAGACTAGGTCATTTCGGGACTAAGATATGACAGGGCAGGGCAAGGTTGGCCAGGGGACTCTTCTACTGTAATTGTTTCAAGTTGTGTGGTTATAGGCGTACAGGCTCAATGCTCGTTAGGGGTGGGGGGGCAGAACCTGAAATGCCCCAAAAACTTTCGGGTTGGGATCCCAAAGAAAATTTGTGTTATTCAATTAACGTAAAATTAGTGTTTTAATAGATTTCGGGCACTTTATTTTGCCAACTAGATAAAATAATATGTTTTGTTTTCACTTGACCCTTCTGCCCTAAAAGTCAGATTACCCGAAAGCTAGGGGAGAAGCTCCCCCTCTAGCTTGTACGCCTATGTGTGTGTTTTCGCTCCTGTGGTTTTGTTTGACAATGAGTAGGATTTTTTTGGAGGTATAAATTATTTTGACATTTCAAATGCTGTCTCACGCTTATAGACATGCACTTGATAAAAGAAATATCTTATTTTAAAGTCACAATGCATCATTTACATAGATTGATGAAATTTCAATTCAACATGTCTTTGTAAATACTAAACGGAATTGAAGCATTTAAGACCAATATTCCTATTAGATATTTCAGAATATTGTAATCTTCTAAAATGACACATCAGGACTTTTATATTTTTCCTCAAAGTACACTTCTAGAAAATACATACAGTTATTTTTAAGTGTTAGAAACTTCATGGTTTTTAACTAGGTCCTCAGGTTTGTCTCCCCAAACCGCAAACCAATTGTTGAATTAAAATTGAACCGTATGTTAGTTCCAAAATGACCTAGTTTCTGTCCAGTGGTCTTTAAACCCCATTTCTCTCTCTCTCTCTCTCTCTCTCTCTCTCTCTTTCTCTCTCTCAAATTATTTGAAGACTAAAGGGAGATAACCATTGTTTGGGGACTAAAGGGAGATAACCATTGTTTGGAGACTAAAGGGGGGATAATCTATATCATAAAAACTATTTGAGTAAATTTAGCAATGTAATTTATTAAAGATTTCAATTTGCTTTTATTAATTATACAAGGAATATTCAATGAAGAATATCTTAAAAAAAAAACAAAAAAAAAACCCCCAACAAATAATTAAAATTTAACAAAAATACTTATAGTCGTAACATGATTGAACAAAATGTTAAATAGAGAGTTGAAGATCATAAACAACCAAAAAGTGTTTTTATAAAACTAATTTGGTATACAAAAATTATGCAAATTGATCATGGAGTTATGATCATTTAAAGTTTACATTATTTTCAATGGATTTCAAGCCATCATTTTTATTTCTGTTATATAAATTATTGTACTTTTTCACAAGTATGAATAATGTTTGAGGGGTTGATTCAACGCGTATGCATGAAATCAAAAGGTCTATCATTGAGTCAAGTGGTGTGGTTTTGATTCCCCGGTTGTATGTGACAAGGAGTACCGGTAGAGTTGCCTGTCCAACCTTGTGGGTTTTTTCTGGGTTCTTCGATTTCCACTCACTGCTAAAGACCCCTACGCGCAAACGAATTATTGAAATAAGATTGAACCATATGTTAGTCCCTAAATGACCTGCTTTATGTGGAGTGAACATTAAGCCCCATTTCTCTCTCTCTCTCTCTCTCTCTCTCTCTCTCTCTCTCTTAATAATGTTTTATACTTAGATGTGCTTAATTGGGATTGAAACCACAACACCTGACTTGAAATTTTACCTGGACAGGTGTGCTATGGCCCACTCTTATATTGATTTCCAACTGTCACGTTGTTTTTTTTTACGTGAATGTCATCAGTTTTTTGTTCCAACCAAACAACTAGACACTGTTCCATGCCAGGCCTTCCGTCCTCCAAAAACTCGGAGAGGAACTTTCTTAACATTTAATATTCTAGATCCATTCCATGTTAGTAGGGTAAATTGTGTTTATGAGTGAAATAAATTGTGTTTGTGGGTGAAATAAAAATGGAGGATTAATTGTGGATGTTTTATATTTCAGTCGTATACAGCATCAGTATGATCACCTAGACGACGAATATAGAGTAGCCGCCATGGGCGCGCTAAAACGGACCAATCTAAACAAGAGGAGGGTGAGTACAGTTTTATAATCAAACACCTTTATATTAAACCTAGGTCATAACACACTGTATCTGTTTTGACCAATCTGATTAAAATACAGATCTATATTTCGTTTCGTTTTTTTATACTTTCGATGGCCTACACTACACGAAGATCTGATCGATTGTAGCGATAGGTTGCGTCAGAGGTCATACGAGCGGCTTTTGACCCTATGACGTCAGACATTTGATTAACCAATCAGCATTGATGTTACTAGTGAATTACCCACAGTTCCATGCAAAACACGCCTAAAGCTCGTCATAACAGACCGTTTCATAGGCTAAGCCCTCACACCATTCAGAACACGTCAATGATAACAACTCTTCCAGATCATAGTCTAGTAAAGACAAGTAAAATGAAATTTTGAACTATAAAAACAAAACAAAATAGGATCTGTGTTTTAATCAGATTGTGTTTTGACATGTACGAGTCTTAGGGTTTGGTAGCTCTCAGATAGCCACAAGAAACCAGGTGAGAATTTTGTATATGCAGGATAAGAAGTCTCTACGGCCAGTCTGTGATCTTCTATGGTGCCGAACACACACAAGTGACGCATAAGTCTCATGCACAGGTTTACTAAAATTTCCCCCATAGACTAGTAGCACATACGACAGGGGTTGTGAGCTAGGCTTTATATGGGTGAATTACTAAAAAAATTCATTATTACATATACTGTTTGATTTATGTTACATTACATTTATCATTTGAATTACAATATACATTATGGCACATTACATTTACCAATAATTTACAATGTTACATCACATTTATAATATACATTCAGTTACATTTACATTGGGGTTCATTACATTTACCATGTTACATTACATCCATCATATATTTATTATATACATAAGGCATATTATATTTACCATATATTAATGATTCATTACATTTACAATATACATTATGGCATATGATATTTACCATATATTAATAATTCATTACATTTACAATATAAATTAGGGCATATTACATTTACAATACACATTTGCAATATACATTTACAATATACATTAACCATATATATAAATGATTCATTACATTTATAATAGAAATATTGGATATAAGTAGTATACGGTATATCTTTAGACTATAACAAAGGATGACAAAGGATATGAACCATAATAAATAGTTATATTATTTGAGTTGAAGGTATTATATAAATAATTCAAGAAAATTTGACGAGAAATGGTGACATATAAACAGCTATGTATGTGTCAATCTTTATTACTAAACAATACAACGTGACTTATAGATTCATGTTTTCAATCCTCCAACTCTACTAAGGGGAGATAACTCTTTCATTACTGCCTGTGTAATATGGTCTGAGACTGGTAATTGATTCTCTAGAGTTCAGTAAACACATCATTTTATATCTATTAAAGAAGTGTTATAACATTAAACAAGAAATTAAATATTCAAAATGACCCAATCCTACATACTACCCATGTTTTTGTAATATCAAGCCTGAAAAGGACTATCTTCTGTATATTGTTCCTGATCATCAACAGTCATAATAACTATGAACTGCCCAGCCTCCTTACTTTCGTGGGGATCAGCTTCAAACTCATTAGGTTCCGACCTCTGGCAGCCAAGCAGCAGCCATTTTCCCAGTGTAACTCAAATTTAAAATTGAACTTTGTAGCATTTATTATGATAGTGGTTATGAGTGTTATAAGATGGCCTTACGCTAAGGTAATATAAAATACCATGTTCATTAAGGGCAGCATGCATACAAGTAAATGTACATTTAAACAGAATCGAATACATTACACAGGAAACATATACATTGATAGGAGACAATGTTGATATAAACAATAATTCAACTAGTTACCACCAGATTTGATTTCGATCTCTCATCAAAAGCCAAGTAAGCATATAAGGCCATTGCCTTAGTAATCAATTTTGGTGGCACAAAATTGTATGAAATCTCTGGATTTGCTGAGAAGCCTGGGTAGAACTACATGGGTTTTACATAGTTCTTTATGTTACTGTTTAGTAAAAAAATGTTTTTTGTTTTTGATCGAGTTAAATTCACAAAATGTACAGACATTGTGGAGAGAGAGAGAGAGAAATAGGGTTTAACGTCCACTCGACACAAACCAGGTCACCTCGGGACTAACATATTGTTCAATTTTATTTCAACAATTCGCTTGAGCATAGGCGTCGTCAGCACCGGAGGAAACCAGAGGACCCAGAGAAAACCCACGAGGTTGGACAGGTGACCCTACTCCTTGTCATGTACAACCTTGGAATCAAGACCACGCCAATTGACTCAATGACATATCTTATGATAAAACACACACGCGCGACCCATTCGGCCATCCAACCCTCTGTACAGACATTGTGGAGCAGAACCAAAATGGAATTAGCTATTGAACAGCTCATTGTGAAGATGCTATATTTTTTTATTTTATGACATTATCGTCACAACAGTTGTTGCCGTTTTATTCTAGATTCTACATTTCATGAGATAACGCCAGCCATTGTTTTACGATATTCAAACATGGTTGATCACAGACCATAAAAAACCCTCTTCATTGAAAATCAGAATTATGATCACAGCTACTCTATTTCTGTTTTAATATTCATATTATACGTTGTTTTATCTCTCGCTCACACTACAATAAAAATCTAAATTAAACAATGAACAGATGTAATCTGATTATTTTACACAGTAGCTCATGAATTGGATGCTAAATTCAAATTAATTACAATCTTGTTCAAACATGGGATCCTATTTAATTATGAATATGGAAGCTGGCAACATCGTAAATTTGATATCTTTTCAAATAAAATAAATTAAATGCATGTCCACTCAGAATTTTAATGACTTTTACAATCTTTAAATCTTATATTTCTACAAATATAATTAAATGAATTATAAAAGTGTTCATTTAATGTTAAAGATACATTATGTAAGATTTAGATAAGAAGCTAGCCATTCTTGCTATAATAGTTCGAAAATAGATAATGTAAAATGAATAATTTGAAAATTTCATTCAAATTACTCTATTGCGAGCGAAGATATTAACCGTTGATAGCTTGACAAGACGTGTGCAATAATTTCATCCACTGTACTGGTTGTTTGTAGCTAAGTCTCACTCCTCCATTTTTAGCTTAAATCAAAATATATGGCTGAACTGTTCTAATCTATTTAATATCAGAGAAATTCGATGCCATCGAGAGTTGATTATGGTCTGAATAAGTTAATTAATGTCTAATTAATTTAGATAATATTTTAGTCCTAAAGAAAGAGCTGCAATATGCAGATTTAGCTCTTGCATAATGTATGTTTAATTTAGGATTTATAAATATTGTGTTTATCCAAATATAATAAAATCATCAAATTCAGATGTGTTCATTTAAACATACATTATGCAAGAGCTAAATCTGCCTCTTGCAGGTCTTTCTTTAGGCCTGAAATGTTTTCTAAAGTATTAATTAGGCATTAATTAACTGATCCAGGCCTTAATCAACTCTCGATGGCATCAGATTTCTCCGATATTAAATAGATTAGAATGGTTCAGCGATACTTTGATTTAATCAAATATGGAGGACCGAGACTTAGCTTCGATCAACCAGTACGGTGGTTGAAATTATTGCACACGTCTTGTCAAACCTTCAAAGGCTAATATCTTCGCTTGCAATAGAGTAATTTGAATGAAATTTTCAAATTATTCATTTTACATCATCTACTTTTGAACTATTATAGCAAGAATGGCTAGTTCTTTATCTAAATCTTACATAATGTATCTTTAATGCAATCCGATTAAAATACAGATCTATATTTCGTTTTGTTTTTTTTATACTTTCGATGGCATACACTACATGAAGATCTGACCAGTTGTACTGAAAGGTCGCGTCAGGGGTCGTACGAGCGGCTTTTAATAGGTAAAAGAGAGAAGTGGGGGTTACTGTCCCCTTGACACAAACTGGGTCATTTTGAGACTAACATATGGTTCATTTTTTTTATTGCAAGAATTAGCATGCACGTAGGGGTCTTTAGCTGTGAGAAGAAACCGTAAAACCCACAAAGTTGGACAGGCGATCCTACTCCTTGTCACAAACAAGCGGGTTATTGAAACCACACCACTTGACTCAATGACAGACCTTATGATCTAACATGCATGTGTTAAACCATTTGATCACCCCCACCCCCCACCCCCGTAGGATATATTCATATTGGTATATTACAACCAGACTATATACTATATATAATACAACTACCTGATTATAGAAACAGATTATAGAAGTCTCTTGTTGATGTTATATTGTCTACTACCCTAAGGACTTTCTTAATAAAACATAATAAATCGAGTAGGTTGGTTTTTATTTCTGTCTGTAACAACAGGAAATGAAATGAACTTGGGTTTAATATCTTACTGTTCTGCTCCGATGGGCATACGCCAAACAGTGTGCTGTGAGGGAAATTTAACCCGGGCAGTGGCACTATGGCCTTCTCTTATATTGAATTCCAACTGTCAAGGTATCTTTAATCTGCACTGCCAATGTATACATGGGACCTCAGTTTTTCGTCCCACCCCAACGACTAGACAGCTGTCCTTGTCGGCCCTGTGTCCTGCACCACTGACAAGAGGGAACCATGTCGTAAATCCAGGCTAGCGAGCCAGCGTCTTACCCACTTAGCCACTGAGCTCCTGTGACAATAGGATATTAACCTGTAGAAAAAAGGTTGTTTTTATTTCTGTCTGTAACAGTAGAATATTAACCTGTAGAAAATAGTTTCTGATTTATCTGTACATCAGTCTTTTGAAAAATCATTTGGGAATGGGGTTTAACATCTTGCTTTGCAATACTTTGGTTATTTTGAGACTAACATAGGGTATTTTTCATTTCAATGGTCACATATCAATATTAAGGAGGGCTGAGAGAGAGACAGAGAGAGAGAGAGAGAGTTTAACATCCACTTGACACAAACTAGGTCATTTCGGGACTAACATATGGT